CCCCAAAACCCCAAAACCCCAAAACCCCAAAACCCCTTTTTTTATGAGTCAGATTGAATGGGAAAGTAGTTTGGTCTATTTCTTCATGAAGGTGAAGTAGATAAACCCTGAGATTAGGATGCTCAAGACCAGAGAGATGATAATGTTGTTCCGCAGATTAGCGCACTTTATGCCCTTTAGGATCTTGTTGATCTCAGGAAGGAGTTTAATGTACTTATTTTGCTTCTTTTTGGTACTTTTCATAGTGTCTCCTTGCATATGAAGGTTTGCTTCAGAATCATCACCCATTGCTAGGGATTAGTTTGAAGGCTTACCGAGGATGTCGTTAGCCATGGAAAGACTAGAGTCGATGTTATTTCTTTCTCCTCTTAATCCATTTATTCTATTAATCGTCTCTGAACTTTTTGAATCATCACTCATTTTCTGTAATTATTGTTAAGTAAAGGTAATTGTAATTTCAAAGAGCAATATCTTCTGTTAAATAAGTAAAAGCCTGCAAAATATTCTTACTCTCTTTAGCTCAAGAGGATCATACTTGAGCAGCAAGTCTTTATAGATATTAATATATCGACGATGCTCGCTGTGAATATCGCATACTTTATTCTTAAATCTCAAAATAGTCGACTTATGTTTCTTCGGATTGCTAAATTTCTGCATATGAGTCATTAAGTCATCAAGCTCATCTATCAAGGTCTGGACATGATTAGCATGTCTATGAAGGACAGATCCCTCACTGTCTTCATCAAATCCTCTCTTTATGTTGTTTTTATGCTTATCTATGTACTCTGAGAGCTGTGATAGCTCTTTTCTAAAAATTGTTAAACTCAGGTTAACAAAGGTTTAGAACTAATAGCAAAAAGGTTTGTATTGGATACAACTCTGTGAGATTTCAGAAAATATATGCCAGAAATAACAAATATTGATAAAGACTAGCTGTATTTTGATCCCAATCTTTCAATCAAAAAGTCTAAAATCATTCTAAAATTGTTCAGAACTAAGGATATCTCTTAAATTATAAACTTACCTTACGACACTTTCCTTCTTAGTAAATCTTGCTTTGTAAACTGCGAACGTATGGTATGTCTGAGTGCCTAAAAGTCCATGAATTCTTGATACGAAAAGTCAAAGTTTCCTTATAAACCCATAGTTAAAGCCTAGCATAAAATATTTTTACCTTCTGCCATTTATGTAAATGTTTTAAATTATCAACTTTTGAGAAACTTTTTGGGGTTTTGGGGTTTTGGGGTTTTGGGG